ATTCTTTATTTGAAGATAACTTTTTGAATTTTGATGATAGCTGATGTCAATAAAAAGTTTTGTTTTGTCTTGACTTTTATATTTTTTGAAATGAAGACCTACCACGTAAGCTGAAACAATAAAATAACAATAAATTCTTATATCAAATTTGTATTTTTTAATTATCAATATATTTTAATTATTGAAATGCAGACAAATGAATAAAACTATTTTAGATTCAGAATGGAACAATTCATCAATTAATGTATTAATTTTACAAACATATTTATATTTTTGTGTATATGATGTTAACATAACATATAGTTAAATAAAATGCTTCTATATTCAACTGGTCACTGGATATAAAATATTTAAGTAGCCTATAATAGTTTTCAAACTTTTAAAGAGCTTATATTTAGGGCGATTCGACATTTATGTTACAGAAATTTTATCATAACATATATTATACCAAAATATTCAAAGAAAAAGTAAAATTACTAATTAACATTAATTTTTAATCTTTTTAAAAGTTAATATAAAATATAGGTAAAATTATATTAATAGATTAATATTAAAATTATTATCTCTTTTGTACTTGGTGACCCGATGGAAGATAATTGTTTGTCCAGTGTCTATGATAATGCGGGTACAGCAATAAGGGAGGCTAACACAATTTGGCAATTAATATTGATTATTCCTAGTATAAACATTTTAAGAACACAGAAACTGCTCATAAGAAATTTGATTTAGATATATCTTAATTTTTAAGCAAATCAACAGCTAAATAAGTTAAAGTAAAACTCCCCTTTCTCTTTAGAAAAATAGAAGTTGAAATAGCCACAGGAAACACTTAAGGTAGAACAATTTGGACTGAAGGTATAATCAAGAATTCTAAAAATCAGTATTTTAAAAATGTCTGATATGACTATATGAGCCTGGACAAAAGATCATAGACCAGACATAACCGAAATGCAACCATAGCACAGAACCAATGACTCATCATTTTTGTAAACTTGATTCAAACAAAAATCTTCGGTCAAGTCGATTAAAGAAAAATCATGCCAAGACAAAAAAATACAACAACGTGTCTACCATTTGTTAGGGTGGGCGATCAGGCGGTGCGCGCAACATATGGATAAAAACACTTACTGTTCGCACACCAACCAAGGGTTGCCAAAAGCTAGTAAGTGATAGTAAAATTTGGTTTTTGGTATACTTAAAAACTCTAAAATTCAAAATTTTAATGAATGTACTGTTAACATGAAAAGTCAGGGGGAATCCTTAAAAAATAACCCCGTATGTACATATTTGCTGTGTAATTACTAAATTATGAGTTTGTTTGTGTTTCTAATATGAATATTTTACATTTGTAATAATTTTTTCTTTTTTAAAATGTACCCATATTGTTCTAAATTACGTTTTAAAACTTAAATGTATGTAAAATAATTTTGGTAAAAAATAAAAAAAAATAATTCAATTATCTATTGATTATTTTGTTCAAAGTTTTTTTATTTTAAATTGTCAGCGTCGCAATAACTAGGAATACAGAGTATATAAATAATAAAGTACAATATGATAATATAAAAGACAAATAATACTATACATAATATTAAAATATCAAACTTCAAAATGTTAGTAAATGTATACTTAATTTTTTTTTATTAGATTACCGTAATAATAGCCTATCTAGTTATATTATTATTAGAATATTTTGTTAGGTAACCCTTCCTCGAAATCAACCATTTTTCTTCTGCTCTACATATATTGTGATATCATATCAAACAAATTTTTATTAAAAAAAGGTAAATGAAGGCAAGGTGATTGTTGTTTTTTAGTGAGACTTTGCAACCTAACCTAACTGTATTCTTATTTCCACTGAAAGACGTCATAATAGATAAGTCGGTATAAATAAATAATGTATTAATAAGAAGCTAAGTGTATCTATTTTATTTTGGCCGTTTTGGGACACGCTATTGGAAGCAGTAAAATCAGACTTACATAGTTGATAGGATCAGAGTTCCGAATGATCGAAACATGGGGTATTTTGATATAGCTGAACAGCTTTCTGACGGTGGTCACGGTTTCCTCCACTATATTTGTTTGACATCCCCCAATTGTCTGATGTAAGCGCTGGCCGACGTTGGCTTCTTGTTGTGGGACTCTCTGCAGTTTGTATTTTTTATGACTGGACCTTTATGTGAAAGCCTGCAAACAAAAAAGAAACACATAGTAAGCATATTATATAGACAGTCGATGGAAGTGGTTTGAAGCGTCACTAAGCCATTGTTGGGGGGAGTGAATAAAAATCACGCTGTACGCACCAAAACTCAGTGGTACCTAAAGTATCCGTTTTGTTAACGACCGACGGGATTCTGGGCGTCCGGCTTCTCGGTGGGCTCCCGACACTCCCGGAAGCAAGCGTAACCAATACGATTTTAGACGGATGTATGGGCAAGTGAAAAAGACTTACGTCGATTTGATCGGCGTTGTTTATGTAAGAGTCAATGAGTCATGTGATATTTTGAAGTAAAACAACTTGCTGACGGTTCCCACTTGAATCTTAACACTTCAACACTTGTGTTTGAAGTCACCATACTTGTTCTCAGACACCAGACACAATAGATTAGCAACGGCAATGAGGCTGTTCATTAAACCTAGACCCGAAAACAAAACGTTGGTGGTTGATCACATTATTGAGAGTTAAATGCATCGTAAAACAAAACAGACGTCAACAGGTCGGACATTTTTATGCGGTGGCGACCAGTGTATCGAAGCATCAGTTATTAGGTGTGGTTGGAGAGGGTTACAAATTGCGCCACCCCTACGAAAGAACAGGGAGCCAACTATTGGTTGATGTGTAGTGTAGTACCACTGGAAAAAAGCTTCAGTCACGGTCCAGTACTTAAAACCATATAAATATAGAAAAAGGCAACCGGTCAGCGGTCGGCCATTTGTAAGATTGGTTTGGGATCAGTCTTAACAGGTGTCGAAAAAAAACTTTCCACACGCACCCATACGGGGGCTTTAAAATCTAACCAATGTTCACCCGCCAACGGACATCTGGAACCTGGGAATAAGTGAAATTGATATATTATTTTACATTTTTAAGGGGTCGACGAATTAGTAATGACACATTTTTAATTTCAAGACAGTTTTCGGACTACAGTAACGGGTTACGGGATGCTCCACCTTTTTGTATTTGCTGGCACCGTACATATGCTCGGACGGCAGACACAAAAGAAACGCGACGGCAGCGAAACCATTCATTTGGAAACTAGTGCCGAGCACATAGCAAAGGTTACATTAATGAGCGTACAAAATATGGTAGACAGACAAAAAAGCCAACCGATCAGCTTTTTTAAAACTAGGACAAACAGCGGCGGCCGGTGGGCGCAACAGGGGATTTAACGGAGACAACAAAAATTGATGAAATATTATACAGCGAAGTAAAATGGACTTACGTGGATTGAACCGGAGTTGTCGACGACCGAGTCAAAAATTATTTCGAGGTAGAATATCTTGCTGACCTTGATCACTGTATCCGAGGTACTCCACAATTTTCATTTTATGTTTTGGAACATGCGTGAACCCCGTCAGACACACGAGGAACAAAAAGTGTGTGTAGGCAACCGGCGGGGGGCGCGACCGGTGGATCGTTTTGAGCAGTTGGTGGTAGTTAAAGTGAAACCTCTCTCGTGGGCTGGACTGCTGGAGTATAGAACAAAATGTATTTTTTTAACGGTAACACCTATTTTTAGCACATGATTTGGATTGACCAAATTTTTTCAAATCGATTTGACTCTTAATGCTTGGCTTCAAGTTCAAAATTGAATGAATGACAGCCATTATTCAATTTTGAAAAAAAAATGTTGAATTTATCTGTGTAATTTATTAATTTTGTTCATGTATGTAATTTTTTTTTTTTAAATTTTAAAATATTTTGTATTTATACATTTTATAATTTTAAATTATATTCAGAACTAATAATCAATTTCTAATAACAATAATAACAGTATATATTTATCAATTACAATGATAATTATATTATAGGATTAGCAATAAATATTAAATATATCACTTCCGAAGCCAATAGCATTGGGGCCATTACAAAGATACTAAACTATAGATTTGAAACTAAATTTGTTACCTTAACTACAAATGTAGAAACTAAAGCATTTTCCTAGAGCTAATGGTGTGCTAGATAAGAGATTAACAAAATTCAGTTGGAATAATAATACAATTTAAAATTATTGAAATTAAATATCTTTATATCTTGTAACAAAAAGGGCATATTAAAAATTAATTTGAGAATAGAATTTAAAGTTACTTTAAGATTCTTAAGGAGTATGGTAAGTACCACCCCAGAATAAAATTCCATAAGAAATTTTTAGTTGTATCAGAGGCGTTTATTTTTTTTAGTTTAAAATTTAAAATAGATTTAAGTGAGTATAAATAAAAGTATTGTTGAATAATTAATATTAACGTCCTATTTAAGGGTTCCATCAATGTAAATACCTGAGTATTTTAATGAATTTTTACCCCCTCCCCTAATCCACTTTTGGCAGTTTTTGACAACAAATATTTTTTTCTCATTGTCTCGACGTCGTGACATACAGGCTGAATTTTTAAGCATGCTTGCCAACAATATTCTGCCTAAGCTATCTCAGTACTGTATTAATTTTACCTCAAAGGACCTTTAGCTTTGACAAAATTTAAGTAATACCTAAAATTAGACAAATTGGCCTTGTATTTAGGCGTCACTAAAGGGTATAGGGGGAACTTTTACTATCATAAAAAAATTTTATATTAAAAATGCATTAAATTTATTCAATATTTATCGTTCAAATATCAGTAAAATGAGTTGTGATTTGTAGGTAGTATAAAGAAAAAATGTTATGGTCAATACGATTTTTGATTGTTGAAAAATTCAAATAATATAGGTATATTTTGTGATAATGTTCATTATATTTTCATTAATAAATTAACAATATTGAAATGCAATGAAATTAGCTGTAATAATTTTATGTAAAATTGTAAGAACATACACTACGGTCTGCAGATTAGATTCAACTTTACTAATTTATGAGCTTGATTCATTACTAACATGCCATTAAAAAATTATTGTAAGATATAATATGATTTCTGGATTACTTTACTTAGGAGGGGTACGAAGCCCCTCTCCCCACTGGAGCCATCCTTGTAGCATCACACAGAATTATAGATATACCAAAAAAGTATACGTTTGATATAATTTTATTGCTGTTAAAGCAGTTACAGAAACCGGTTTTGCTAAAATCAGTTTAAAACAGTTATTAAATGGTTTTAACAATTACGGCTTATGGGCATTTGTTGTCACTTGTCTCTGTTTTACAGACATACTACATGTTAAATTAATTTTCAATTAATTTCCAATTACATAAATACATAACAAATATTACAAATACATTTTACTCTCTAATACCTAAAATTAAAATGAGAATTAGAACCTCTTATAAAATTTAAAGGCAAGAATATTATGTGGAGCATCTCGGATGATCTTATTGATATTATTATTATGAAGTTATAATCATATTTAAACCGTGCATTTTTTGTAAATTTTTAAATGATCAAAACTTACTTAAAAATTATAATATCAATGAAATCCTCCTAGATGCCCTAAATAATATTCTTGATTTTACATAACCATAACCAGACCGGAAGCAATCTTATATTTGAGATTGAAACCGATGATTGTTGGAACGGCAGCAAAATCCGAAACCAGTTTTTTAGTTTTAAAAATATTTATTGGTTTTCAATTATTCTACGCGGCTTCCTTCGAAACTCCCGTGACACCCCTGGGAGCCGCGACGCACAGTTTGAATACCTCTGTATTAAACTATACAATTCTCGGTGTAATAAGTAATAATTCAATTACTCTTTTAATGTTATTAAAATAAATTAATAAATAACTAATACTAATTTTTTAGTTAAAGTATGATTTAAAGTTTCTCAGAATATTTAATAATTAATAGTCATTAGTGACACGCAGTTAACTAGTTTGATTAAACATTTTAATACTCATTACCTATAAGTATAACTATATTTTACAGTTTTTTTATTTATTTATTTATTGACTTAAAAATAATGAAAATGTCATACAACCTGTTCTTGATCACACTATTTGCAACATTTTTAAAACAAATGTAGTTGACGTATATGTGCATACAGACTCAATAGTCCTTGCAAGGGTAGTCTAGAGTCTACTTTTGATCATGAATGATTATGAATTATTATTATATATTTATATGACAAATATGTTATGTAAAACAATCTGTGCGTATATTGGCTTGGTTTATGAACTTTATTTTAACAAATATGCAACTAGACAACAAATAAATGATAACAATTATCATTTTAACGGCGCGCACCGTAAGTTTTAAAAATTTGAAAATTGATCAAAATATGTATATCAGTATCACCTAGGTTATCCCCAAAATTAATTTCAATATAAGTTCATCCGTCCGAAATAATTAATGTTACCTTAAATCGTGATTACATGCACTGTATATTATTATTATTATTATTAAAAATTGATTATTAGTTCTTAATATACATTCTATATTACTTATACTAGACCAATAAGTTTGACGAAATCAATGTTTTCTATACTTAAAAGCATAATTATCATACTGGCATACTGCTTTATTATTGGTATATGGTCTGCGCTCTAGTGGTAGAATAAGTTCTACAGGACTCGTACAGGCGAAGAAGCTAAAACGAGGATTCCTCAATGACTATCACCATCATGATTCATAATCTTCTTAATAAACTAAATTCTAAATAGCACACTTACCTATCATTAATAATTTATCAATAATTACAGCCCTAGTAGTACTAGGTTACCCAAGTACTGGAATAATTGCACTGGTTTCTCATTGGTCCCGTGGTCTACAGACAATTGTGGAGAATACTATTATTGTAATTATACTAATTATAGTAGGTACTATTATTGTATGATTTTTATCAATTCATTTTGTTCATGTGTACAAATTAGTCATAGTAATTACTAATGCTTTATCAAAATTTAATTTTGTTTTATTCACCAAATTAGTCGGTGCATACAAAAATATAAAAACTAAACAATAAAAACAAAAGAAGGTATTTGCAATAGTTCAATGAAGCAAATGAGCTGAGGCAGCACATCGTACAATTATACGTAAGCACCACTTTAGGAAGGGGAAGCGAGGCTCGTAAGTTTTGTGAGTGATTCATAGAGATCCGTGATTTTATGTGTTTGGTTCTGAACAATATAAGTAAGTCAATAGTGAAAATTGTCATATTATCTTGTGTACCACCGAAAGATAAGTTTTAACAATTCAGACTCTATTGTTCTACGTATGATTTCCATCATAAGCCAACTCATTTTCCTTCTATCGGTGTCACTGAATAATATAACACTTCAACCCAAATGAACTATCATCTCCTTAATTATTATCCATAAACACATTATTAATCCATGATCACAACCTGTGTATAATTTATCTGTAGGATGTTTACAGATGTTCTGTAATGAATGATTTCATATGTTAGTGAGTAGAATTTAAAAACAAATCACTGCAAGTAATAAAACACCAACCGATTATTATCAACTTTCGATACGCTCCACGATTTTTAGACGTCAGCGCTAAATATAAGGGTTTTGGGAGACAGAAAGTCTCTGATTTTTCATTGAAATAACAATTTTTAAGGACTTATAAAGTAAGTAAGTAATTAGTCAACGAAGTGCCCTTAAAAATCCTACATTCAGAATAGCCTGAATAACAAAACTCAAAATATTATGTTTTCGATTTTCACAAAGTTTATAGGGGAAACACACAGTACATTCTGATTGAATTTAATAGTATTATTTATTTGTAACCATCAATATTGTACTCGTTGAGTTCGAAACTTAATGACTACAATTTTCGAAATGAGTATACTTCTGATTCCAATATATATCATATACTTGAGTAGGTATATAATATATTTACAAGGTTTTTATTAGTATAATAATATGCAATAACGCTGTAAGACGGCGCTTTGTATATGCAATTCTAATACAACATGTGAAAATATAATCCATTATACCATACAATGCCATATTTATTTTTATTATATTTAATATACATTTTCAATACCTCTAGTAATCAATAAAAATAGATACAAACAATTCCTCGCAAAATTGCGTTCATCTTACAATTAATAGTATTTTAAATTAATCCTTCGGTGTTGATAAATTCAATAAAGATAAATTTAATGAGATGGTTTTCGCAATTGTTCATTGTTACATAGGTAGGAATCTATATATTCAATGTATAAAATCAAATTATATTACGCTGTGTGTATTATATTGTACGACCAAGTGAATACTCAGTTCAACAAAATAATATAATAATTGTATTAATTTTTATTTTTGCCAGTCAAGTATTGGTATTTTTTAAGACCGCAAAACGTCAATGAAACGCTAACTAGATGGCGTCTCAGTGTTTGTGTCTCACACATTCTGTAGCACTTAAGTGGTATATTATTTGAACAACAGGTGTCGCTGGGGTGACCGATATACTTAGGTAAGTTCTTTATTCGTTCTTACGTAGGTATATGGAGCAGTGGAAAATATTTTTTGACGATAATATTATAAATACCTAAATGTCCTAATTTGTAAATACACTGAAAATACCAAAAAAAAAAAGTAAATAATATCTTAATATTCTCCTTTCACATTTATTATGTTGGTTTTTTACAAAAAATAACATATAACACACTGAAAATAAATCTTCATACATATTATACACGTTCAATTTTTATACACAAAATATGTCCATCGCAGGCGGTACACATAATACACTTATGAACGTACTGTACACAATACACATACTATACACAATATAATATAATTAACACGCAGATGCGCGTTCAGCGTGCATAGATGTACAATAACTAACAATCATGGGCACGTAATTAGCGTGGTAATAATTCAGGAAAAGTATCGCGAGAGTTCTGCTTAATTAAATATAATATAATCAATATTCGAAAATATTTTAATGTATAATCGATCGTTGTTCAGGTCCTAAAGACCGTACATTTTTTTTTCTGTACGGTAAGTTCGTCCATCGAGGAGGGCGTTAAAAAAAGACGGGTTTTTTACACATTATGTCCTACATAAAAACAAATACAAGATATTCGTAGACAATAGATACAGTCCAAACAATGCAATTATTTATAATAATAATAAAAATAATAATAAAAATAATAATAATAATAATAATAATATTGATAACGTTGTACAGCGATGAAATATTATTTTAGAGAGCATAATATATAGTCGTATAAGTAGTGATAGGGGTAGAGGTAGGTAAGTAATACTCGAACGGAAAAGAAGAAATCACGGTGTTTTAATTGTAATTATATTTTGTACTTCTCGAGTCGCGGTATGAAAGAAAAACGAAAAATCCCGAGAACAGACGGGAAATGTGACGTTGTGTCGGGTACAGCCAATCAAAAAATTAGACCACCTCTCGTGCTAGAGTCTTCTAAGTCATATAACGATATTATTATAACAATAATTGTGTTGTAAACAAAACGAGGAAAGACGATTTCAACACAACAAACCAGGGCAGTTGTATTCGAGGGACGAATTACCTACGAAAATATTTTGTCTTATTTTGTTCATTATCATTTTCATTTCTATTATACTATCCGCTTTGTAAAAATTTAATATCAATCATTTTTTTTCTTCGCTAACAACCGCAGTGTTCACACAAAGTTTATCTTTTTAATCCTTATGCGACCACGTCACTGTTTTCGTTTTTCTGAGTGCGAAGACTTATTTTTTTTTCGTTTTGTTTTGCGTATTTTTTCGCAGGTAGAGTTTTGTAGAGGTATATCACCGACGCGGCCCTGCGTCCAACGTTTTTGATATCATAAACATTACAATAAAAATACAATCGCGTATGACACATAAAACAAACGAATAATAATAATAATAATAATAATAATAATAATACACGCGTGTTTCCTTCTTAATCGTTTCAGTTTACAGCAGCATTATACACTCGAAATACACAATACTATAACGATGAAAAGTGCGAAAGTACTATAGCGAAAACGGTTTGCAGGCGACACGCCGTCGTAGTATCATAATATAAATATGGGTAATCGTGACGTAGGTATACGGTTTGGTCGGCCCGACGGTTTTTGGTTATATTATTGAAATATGACTGCAGAAAGCCGGGCAAAAGACCTGTACAAATATTATATCATCGCCGATCACACGCGGCACACGTTTTTGCGCGTGTCATAATACTAAATGTTAGGTATCTACTAATGAAAAAAAAAAATTATATTTAATAATAATAATAATAATATGTATAATAGTATAGCGACATTACATCAATAATAATAATAATAATAATAATAATGTTAAATCATTTTTTTGTTTTTTCCCGATTCGCTTTTTTTTATGTTTTTTATTATTATTTTTTTTTTTTTTACTACACACGGACAATTTTTATAATAACGATTACGATTATTATGATTTTTTTTATAACAAATAAATATTATTATTATTATTACACACACCGCGAGTCTAAAAAAAAAAAAAAACGAAAAACGAAAAACGAAAAACAAACACAATAATACATAATATAATATCCAACAACGATCGTCCGTTGGTTTATTTGATCGTATATAATTTATTATTATCATTATTAATAATATCTCGAGAAAGACGACTGGGATTTCCCCTCTAACTGGGCGCCCTGGCCATGGCGGTGGTCGTAGTGGCCGTGGCCGCTGTCTCGTTGTCCGTCGTCGGCGACGTGGGCGGCAGCGACTCGGGCGTCCGTGCCGTGACCACCTTGGACTCGGCCGCGTCCACGCTGCTGTAGCAGCTCTCCGAATCTTCCAGCGACGAGTGGTCATCGCCCTCGCTGAGAAACTTGGCGCCGGCCGCGGCCTTCGGCGAACACTTGGCCATTCCGCCGCCGCCTCCGCCTCCGAGACCCGACGCCGCGGCGGCGGCGGCAGCTATCGCTGGATCCGCGGATTCCGTCGTCGTCACTGTGTCGTGTTTTTTCCACTTTGTCCGTCTGTTCTGGAACCAAATCTTCACCTGTTGACAAGACGGAAAAACCGTTGTTAAAAAAATCGTTTTTTTTTTTTACCGTAAGCCATAGGTGGTATAATATCGGGGGGGGGGGGTTGCATCCCTAACATTTAGGATTTTTACACTTTTTCCAAAAACAGAACACCGGGATCTGGATTTGGTAAAACGCAAGCGAAAACACCGTACCTCAACAAGAAAGTATAAGATATTTAATTCATGTCGAGTCAACAAGACAGGATATTATTATATCTTAACATTATATATAAATTCAAGTTCACTGATATTATTTTATAGCCTACATTCGCGCATAATATTCGTAGAATGTATACCGTCGTATATATAAGCTTTATATCAACGGGTGTGATGTATTTATTATATTATATGTTTTTTAATTCGAACATAATATTATGTAGGTATAATTGGATAATTTGTGTAATGTGCAATCCGTGTACACAATTTTAAATAAATAATAATGCATTTCATATTACAAACAAATAGCCTTAAAATCGTCATGACATAAGTACCACGGCACGCGATGCAATTATTGCAAAATACAAAGGTATGAACCTCGTACTCTGTTCAATGGCACTCGATGATGGAACCTGCACACTGCAAGTGCTTGTTCGCAAAGGTTTCTTCGCGTATTTTATTATTTACGTGACAATAATAAATATTATATTACGAGTAGGTATAAAACTATAATATAATATTTTATCATATAGCTGAGAGCATATTATAATATGTAGTATAATAATATATCATTTAGAAATGGTCGTTTCGTCCATTCGAATTGTGCTAAACGGGACACCTCGCATTGTTTGATATCGAGCGCACCCATACGGCAATATATAATAATATACAATATGCATTATGCACATATGAAAGCGAAAACGTTTAGGTACGCGAAGTGCATTTAGCCTCTTATATGCTGTCAGTGGTACAGTGTATATAAAGGCAAATATAACGTGAAACAGAGTGTATTATAATAATATACATAAGCACGAGGAATGGACTAAAACACCGTATTGCATTATTCAAATCCGAGTAAACACCTACATTATACCTGTACATTAAACCGACACCTCTCAAGTATATTATGTACATTATGCACTCCCCACGTTTACCAAGCGACCCTCGAAGGTCGACATTTTTTTTTTCAAATTTCCAAACAATCACGTACACGCTAAACAGAAGATGTTATTATCTTATTTCCGACTGTACGTTATATTATAATAATAGAATAGCGTTTCGACAAGGATACGAGAGGGAGCGAAATCAGTCAGTCGCCGACACTGCAATTATTATAAAAGTGCATTTAAGAATTTTGCGGCTTTTTGATATTATATTATGAACATGCCAAAAGAGTTGCTCATAAAGGATTTATTAAACAGTTGGTGGGAGGGGGGGGGGAAATATGAACTATCGACTCAATTACACGATGGACGTAGGTACTAACTCGACTTAATATGAGTTGGTTTTACGAGAATGGCCTTAACAATCCGTAAAGAACTGCAGCAGTCTAAGAGATCTCGGAAACTCGACTTCGTCCTTTAAATTTAATTATAAATCGTATAAAATAAACAATTAAAATCAATAACATTGCATATTACCTATACCTTTCTATATTGGAAATATGTATAGTTATAGTTTATTCAATTGTTGTTATCTACGATCTTTGATTTAATATTACCGTCATTACGTCCCACTCGTCGTTAATCTATAAAAAAGTGGCCCCACCCCCGCGTTGAAAATCCCTGAACCCGCCTTGATATAGGTAGGTCGTAGGTATTGTTGTCCTAAACTACCTCCCGAATGTATTTAGTGAATATTGTTCGTTCAATAATTATTTAAAAAAAAAAAAATCCCAACACAATTCGTTTGTAAAAAATTCAGCTAACTGTCTGGATTGGACGTCCGTGAAATGTGCAAAATCAGGGTATTCATCCCTTATTATATAGGAAAAAACGAATTACACGGCGCAATCATAATGCCAGCCAATTAAAATCATTACACTCATTCGTTTTTATATGATAAGTCCACAAACAACGTACACAAATATGGTAAAATGCTCAGAGTGCAGTCAAAGAAAGACTTTACAACAGTTTTCGATTCTTCATTATTTTCCATTCGATGTTACACAACAAAACGCTATGGGTATTGGGTAGAATCGCAACAAGCAATTTCTCCGAATGCTTTTCTGTCAAAAACAAACATTTGTACTGTTTTTGTCACGCCTATATCGATTTCACGAGGCAAAACTATTTAAATATAAAATGGCAATCGAAGAAGAGAACACTTGTATTTCTTTTATATTTCCCTTTGAGTAAATAATAAAGATCTGTCAAATAGAGCTTAAATCAATTTATACTTTAAAATCGCATAAGAAATAGTAGGTACTTGGATCGTTTTTTCAGCAGATAATAAATAGTAATAATACATTTGACCAAAATAATCAAAATATATAGTCATAGCACAGGTATTTAGCATAGATATTAAAGATAATAAATATTATTTTATACAAAGTTCAACAGTACCAATTAAAAAGAAATTATTTTTTTAATTTTTAAAATTATTAATTTCATTTATGTAGAAAGTTGTACAGCAGAAATATTCCGCATATTTTAATCCACGCGGAGTGTTCAATATAGGTACAGCGTACATACCAATTAAACTATACATTTTTGAAGAGAAAAAGAACTATACCTAAAATAATAGTTAGTGACTTAAAACAGATGTTTGTAAAATGGATTAATTAACCATCCACAGCAGTATTTACTGTGCACATTAAATACTTTTATAAAGTATTATTTGTTATATAAATAGTATACTTATTTAGCATAATATTTCTAGAATTATTTACTTAAATACTGTGTAAAAAAGTTATTTCCTTCTGAGAAATTATCGCAAAATGTACATAACAAACAATCATCGCCACATATAAATACAAAATAGGTAGGTATTAGGTACCTATATTATCTACAAATAAGTTAATTATAGACGTTACTATATTATTATTACTTTGAACATATATAGTATTTAATTATTACCATATAAAATATAAAGTTATTGTCGATAAATGACGCATATTATGTGATGGATTTTGAAGTGCAATATCAATACTTTTTAATCTGCAGCAGCGGGAAGGAGCTATAAAAATTAATTCCATCCGACAAATAGGGTCAGCATTTTTTTATTTCCAGGCTTTTCGATCGAATTGCTCTTTGCACGAAAGCTTGTTCCCTTTTCGTGCCCATTTGTAAACACCCTTACTGCAGCAACTGGACCGTTATGGATTCGTAAAAAAAAATACCACTGCTAACTTTTTTACCATCTATTATTTTACATGTATACGGGGCCTTGTCTAAACACACACACACACACACACACACACACACACACACACACACAATATGCGCGTGCATACAATACATATATATATATTTATGTAGACCCCATAACTCACTAAGACGTCCACAAGTGTTATTTGCAATTCAAAACATTTACCAGTATAAAATTACAAAGCTAATTTATCTAAGATCATAATTTTTTTTTATACGAATATTTTTTTTAGCATTATGTTCCCTACGTGGTCACTAGATCCTAAAATAATAATAATAAAAAAATTTGAAATGAAATAGTTTAAGCCTGCAGACACCGGAACATTTAATTTGAAGTTTAGCAAGTACATATAATATTGTATAACTTAACTTATTTTTCAGGTTATACCAAACTAGCCACTAGGTATACAATAATATTAAATATTTTATTCAACATATAAAAAATATATAATGTACGGTCGGTTATATATGCATATAAGGTATACATGATTTAAAAACTACATAATCACGCATCAATTATAATTTTACATTTGATTTAATTGAGAACTAAAAAAAAAATTAAACAAATAAATTTGCTAACCCCATCTAAGTGATAAAGTGATTCTCAAGATTTTTTTCTCTATACTATTATTAGTTACAATTCGAAGTTTGGAATTGAAATGTAAATTGTACGAATCACGATAAACAATTCGTAAAGAAAATCTGTTTGCTGATTAAATCGTATAGATTAGTGTCGTGTTACAGTATAATATTATAATGTCAACCTATATAGGAGCTATAACGAGCACCAAGTAATTTAAAATTTAAATTTAAACCAATATTAAAAAAGAAGTTAATTAATATAACGAAATTACAATTTTTAATAGCATTCACTGCCGTCGTTAATTGTATTTAATTCGTTTCTATAAAACAAAGATAATCTTATATTAATGGTATATTAAATGTACATATATAATAATTAGAGGTAGTAAAAAATACAAATAGCATAATTACATACTTCATAAACTAATTTGTGTGTTGTAATTACATAATAAACGGTTTAACGGTGAGACATTATTTGAATGAGTTGATTATTAATTTTTTTCGTTTTGATAGTTCAAAGTATTTATCGATAACACTTGAATAATCATATTAGTAAATCGTATTATAATAAATTGCAGTCATAACTCACTTATAATATCATATAGTATATTACATACCAATATTATATGGCTGTACAGTGTATACCTAACTATATAATTATCACCTGATCGTATAAAATCGTATAATATGCTACACCGGGTCCTATTAAATTATTATAATATTGTAAGTACACCAGTACACGGTATTGTAGCAATCTCTCTTATTATAGTTTACTTTAACTTGAACGCTCAACTTTTTCGAAAAATAACGCCCAAAATCGTTTTACCATCAAAACGTTACCAACCGCACACGCACACACAACATTAAACAAACGGATATAATATTATACCGAAGAACGACGAAATTACGAATACGGTTTTTTTTCAATCACGACACATCAGCTGTATTACTATATTAAACGAAAACTAAATATTAATCACAATATCGCTTTGAATGCGTTAGGCGAACCGGTAGCGGCGGCATTGCAGAGCGCTTAATTGGGTCTCGTTAATAAAATATTTAAAAGCAAAGTGAATTGCTCTACAC